CATTTTCTTCTAAATCAAACTTCAAAAAAAGAATTTAAAACTGACCAACTATCTTTATTTATTTGAAACTTTAACACTTGACTATGAAAGCTATGCTTCAGCATCTTGATACAACACCACCCAACACTTCTCAGACCAACCCTTGTAGGATTGCTGTTGTATAATCTGTCCACACTGCTCCCTCTGGTGGGAAAACAATGTATACAAAATGAGAACCATTTCTATCCTTGCTGTTATAACGTTACAATAACCCAAAATGTAACCTCATACTTCCCCATGGTGAAGCAGGAAGTGACTGAAGTTGTGGAACACCACTCCAAGACAACACACATGCCAGAAACTGAAGCGCATGCTCACTTAGTGCAACTCTTCCATTATTTTATATAATTACTACAGTGCACAGTGAAAACGTTTTTACCTTGGTCTGTTATCAGTGCTCGGAGTTCTCCCAAAAGATATTTTACCATCTTTACTTTATGGGCTGCTTTATCTGCACTTTCTTGTCTAGGTTTTAGACCTTTCTTCACACAGCTTTGCTGGCTGTTTGCATCTCTTGCTGAGGCCACATCAAGCACATTCAATTCACCTTCGCTGACCACATCCTCACTGTGCTCTTCAGAAGCATCCCCATCATTACTTGAGACGTTACATGCTGTCAGACAATGACAGAGCTTCTGTTCAGTCCTGCCATTTGCCATTTCACGCGTTTGTAACAGGGCCAGGTGAGCTTTTATGCACCTTATCAAGTCCGCTTCTTTACTCCGTTGCTCCTGCCTTGGGATCATCTCTCTGCCAGAAGACAACGGGGTGAATGTAGGCACTGCAGAATTACTTGATGCACCTGATGCTACATAACGCATCACACCAGGAAGGGAACTGGCAGCCTGTATTTGTGCAGGAGTGGGAGCAGCAGAAACCATGGGGAAAACCACAGTTTCTCCCATCTGTGGCACACGTTCATTGCCACTGTCTATAGGAACACCCTGCACAAAGAAGATTCATTTTAAACAGAGAATTAACATGATTTACATTCGATCTTAAACATCACTGATAACATTAAAGCAGTTTAATCTCTGTTGTGTAAGAAAAAAAAACTCAGCAGCTGTTGCTTTTTTTTTTTTTTTTTTTTTTTTCTTTCTAACTATTCATCCCTTCAAACCAAATCAGAACAGGGAAAAAATAAAAAGAAAACAGTTCTGTCTCAATATTCTAAACTGATGTATTTCTAAAAAGTCAAGGATAGCACTAATTACATGGACTGCCTACAGGTGGAAGATAACTCTACAGCCTTCCATTTCCAAACTGCAAGGTCATTACCACGTTTCCCAAGGTGGTTGCTGGTACTCTCCATTACTTTTATTTTATGCCCTGAAATACACCCAGATTTTAAAATGTGGCTCTAAGATACTACTCAATATCTGAAGACATAATTAATTAATTAGCAGGGGAAAAGCTGCCTATGAGATACAATTTCTTTAATGAGGAGTTGGTTAGAGATTCTTATGTGCATTACTGATAATATAATTCTGAACAGTAATGTGCAATTTCCTACACCTTTCATGCTCCCTGTCCATTACAGAATTCCCCACACAGAAACAGCCATTTGAAACACCTCCCATTTTACTCTTTGGTATCCATGTACATCACATTTTGAACTGCAGTATTTTTTCATCATCTTTCATCAGTACAGGTTGAAATAGGCTGAGATTTTTCATAATGAAGGAATTACATAAACTCAATGAAATCCTTACAAATCAGTGTATACGTAAACAAACAGTGCTATTTTCAAGTGCTTATTAATAATCTAAATCAAACTTTTACTTACGGCCTGAGTAGATAAGGGATGAGCTGCATGCTGCAGGGACAGGTCTGCTGTGGAGACAGATAATTGGTAATTAAAATCTGTAACATTTTGATATCCTAAAAGAAGACAATGCTGTCACAACAACCTGAGGCAAAACTTGGAGTACAGCAGCAAGCCCTACATTGATAGTCAAACTAACCATGATTTGAGGTAGGAAATGAAGTCACAGGAGGAATTTCATTATTGCTCTGTGATGGCTGGCCAGTTATCAGAGCCATCTGGGTCGGCACATGCTCACACAATTTCTCATGTATGACAGGAGACTGCTGGCTGCAAGGCACATGAGTTGGTCGAATCAGCTGGTGCTGTACTGCACTGGGAAGCTCTTTCTCAGTAGATGGCGTGGTAGATGAAAGATTTTTCTTAGGTAATATTGGCACTAAAGAAAGAGAACTTCAGCTGAGTGTTTTGTTCTGTCTCCTGCATCTACACAATAAAGAAGCGTGGAGCCTCTCAGTATTACTCGAGAAAAAAGGAAGCCTGAGGAAATCTGCTTACCAATTTCTTTTCGGATGTGGGGAGCAGTAATGCTTTTCTTCAATCCTTTCTTCTTCAGAGTATTTGCTTTGGTTAGGAAAGGTTTGGAAGTAATTTTAACAGATGATTTCCCTGGCTGTTTATGGATAGCCTCCTTTCCTATTGCATTCAATACAAAAGCTGGTCAACAAAACAAATCACAACAGCCCTACAAAAACTAAAAACGTAACTTAAATTCTCAATAGTTACAACCTGTAGCTTCATTTTCTAGGATATTCTTCAGTAAAGCTGCACAGCGGTCAAGTCCATTATGAATAGTATTAACCTGCATACAGAATACCTCAGTCAGAAAATGAGCATCACTGCTTGCTTTCAGTAAAACAGAGCCCTTTCAGAGGGAGCTGTTCCCCACTCTGTTATCTTAAAAATAATAATAAAACATTGATCATAGGTAAAAACGTTTAGTTTCCAACGTATCACTTTGCAATCACATGAAAATTTGCAAAAAGCTTAAATTGCGTTGTTACATGTGTGCGCATTTGTTTGATTTTATTTGTTGGTAATTGCACGTGCGTTTGTTTGAGTTGTTTCCATTTACAGTTAAACTATTACCTACAGTACATTTCTAAGTTTGGAAATAATCGATTCAGTGCTACACATAAAGCTCTGCTGCAGCATTGCTTTCGTACAACTTATTCTTCATGTCACAAAGCATAACTAACATGGTTACACTTCTGGCAGTACGAACAGCAGAGGTGTGTTCACACAACACGTTCTATGCCTTAACAAGCTGTCAGAAGCAAACTTACTGCTGAGACAATTTGCAAGTATCCACAGTGCTCTGTATAAATACTCTCAGTGGCTTTGAAGGAGCTTCTTCTAGACCACATCCAGCAGTATCTAATTTGGCATTTTTTTCCTTCAATTGTTGCAAGGTAGATTTAGGTTGGATATAAGGAAAAAGTCTTTTACAGTGAGGGTGGGGAGGCACTGGAGCAGGTTGCCTGGTGTTGTGTTTGATGCCCCGTCCCTGGAGACATCCAAGGCGAGGCCGGAACAGGCCCTGGGCAACCTGACGTAGCTGTGGTGTCCCTGTTCACTGCAGGGCAGTTGGACTGGATGGCCCTCAGTGGGGACGTCTGAGAATTCCAACTCTGTGATTCTATTCCAGTCTCCATTCTCTCTAGATAACAGATGCGACTGCATTAAGAAGCCAGGGAAATTACCTGATCGTCTGAATCAGTGGAGTAGTGACAGTATGCGTCCTCCACATCAGAACGACATCCTTTTCTTAAGCCAAGCCTAAAAAAAGGTCGAATTCACTGTTTGTACTACTTAAAAAAATAATTCCAAAGCTACTTGTTCAGCAGCCGCGATTCGAGCCTTACTGTTTCCTTCCATTGCTTTGCTTTGCTGCTCCCGTCAGCCTTCCAGAAGACAGCGCCTGCTGGTGATAGGAACACACAAACACCCGCTCGCTTTCGCGTTATGCACCGTTTTCACCCGCTGCTTTCAGGGGGGATGGAAAGCTCCTCATCGAGACGCGGCCAGCGGAGGTGAGGCTAAAGGACCGCAGCCTAACTCCGCTCCCAACGAGCCTCCACCGTCCCGGCCGAGCCCAGAGGCCCAGCCGGCTCCCAAAGCCGCGCCGCAGCCCGCCCTGCCCGCCGCCCCGCACGCACCTTGCATGGCCGCGCCGCACCCGCCCTTCCCATGGCCATGGCTGCCCCCAAGCCGCGCCGCCGCCGCGGGGGAGGAGCCGTCGCCCCCACGCGCCAATCCGCTGCCCGCCCGGCTGCCGGCCGTTGGGAAGGAGGCGGGGCTGCCCCTAACCCCGCCCCTCCCGGCGCTTTTCGCCGCGCGGAAAGGAGGGGATTGGTGGAGGATGGGAGCCAATCGCAGGAGAGATCAGGACTCGGGGGTTCCGCCCTGCTCTGGAGCCGCGTGGTGCGGCGCGTGTCTCGGCTCGCGCCCGGTCCGGTCGTAGCGCGATGTCTGCTCCTCTGAGGAGCTCGGGGCTGCGGAGGCTCTGCACCCACAAAACGCCGAGCCCCCGAAAACGCCGAGAAAGGGGCTTGCGGGTGTGTGGCTCGCCCCGAGGGAACAGCTTTGTAAGGGGCGGGTCGTAAATCTGCCCGCAATCCGCGTCCTGCGAGACTTCGGGGCACCGAGGTAATCGGGCTGGTAGCAAGCCAAAGGAGCCGCCTGCGGGCCAGAAACACCCTTCCTGTGCTTTTAGCTGGTGCAAAGCCTCCTTAGAAATCTGAGGAAAGATTAGAAGGGCTCCAAAAAACACTTAGCAAGAAACGTTGGTGTTTTTTCTTGGGGTGCTTTCTCACTGAACACGAGCAATGAAGGGCGCTACAAACAACAGCAGGGGAACAACGGCAGCGAATGCGTTGTTGAGAGCACACTGCTGGAACTGAGCATTTCGTTGCTCAGCGTTGCAAGAAGGGCCTCGATCACAATAAAAGCGCTGTGAGAGAAAGCAAGAGCCTAGTAGGGAATTGTCTAGTTTGATATAAAAGCAATGAGAAGTTCAGGCAGGATGTTATTGAGACTGCAACTGTACGATTTCAAAGCGCGTTTTAGAACAACCAGCCAAGTGGGTCTTCCATCAGTGCTAATCGGGTACGTTTTCATTTCATCGTACTGCTTGAAAGCCGTTATACGAAAGAGCCGTAGGCTGTGCATTCCTCAGAAGCGCTTGTCTCGTTTTGGTTGTTGCGATGCCTTGGGAACGAGCAGCAGCCCAGGCAGAGCGCGTGTCGCGCCGGGCACGAGCTCGGTTGCATGGCTCGTGCCGGCCGCCAGGTGGCGCCACCAGAGCAGGGAATGGCGGCATTTCACGGACTCCCCCTCGAAACGTGGATGTACAGGCGTACTCGAATGTTTTATTAGTGAAAGAATGTGCATGAAAATAGTAACCAGAGAACATTCCTGAGATGTGAATTAACCACAGTGTACACCTAAATAATCACAGCAACTCAGTTCTCTCCCATCATTAATAGAAAAATCACAAACCCGCTTTCTTTTCTCTGTGGTGTGGCTAAGAGAATCCAGGTAGCAAAGCATTTAATGCTGGGAGGAATATCCAGGTCCCTTCCTGATCCCATAGTGAAATGTTACTAGTGCAGCAAATACTGTCACATTACTTACACACTACTTTGACATAGCTGAGTAAAGTCTGCCATCTTCTTCCCATACAGACTACCAGTGGCCATTATGTCCAAAACCACTACCTGCCATTTGGTTTCCTTAGTCAGGAAAACATGAACAGAAAACATATGGTACTGTATTTCTCTTGTTCTGGGTTTTCTTTGATTGTCTGAGTATGAGGTAGTGGTGAAAAGACACTGACCTGTTTCCCATGACACAAGTTTGCTGTAGCCCTTTAATTAACTATACAAAATCAGCATAAATAAAGCTAGTAAGACAGAGCCAGGATATTTCTCATCATGTGCTGAGTGATGCTGGAAGCAAAGGAGCTCTTCTAGGTTTCTCCTCATAGCTAAGGCAGAGCACTGCAGAAACTTCTTTAGCAAGTCATTAGGTGAGGCTACAACTTCTGTCAGTGATTCTCCACTTGCCTTTCCCAATGTTTAATCTGTTGTGACCTGTCTGGAGACGAAAAGGATGAGTAGCCTGCTGCACATAGATTGGCTCCTTTGGTCACTCTAACAAGAAACAGTGGCTGGGTTATTCAATGATACTATCAAAACTCCTGATTACTATGTATCCTATTTCAATACTAACATTAGTTCAAAAATCACAACACAACATCTTCATCCAAGTCAATGTAAAAGTATAAACAAGTTCACCACTCCGATTTGAATACACACCAGGGCTAAAAACTCGAGCCAATTCATTCATTCATTAAAAAATGTCCAGTATTAATTATACTTGCAAATAAGTCTTCTGGGAAATAAACATTTTATGTAATCCCAAATTAGGCCCAAATACATGAGCTGGACTTCACTTTGGCATTGTTTTGTTTTCAAGTGCACTGTGCTGATAAGGAGCTGGATATATAGGAAGCATTGGTGATATTAGGTTAACTGGATTCCTGAAGCATACAGGTGAGTACAGATAAGAAAGACTATAGCAAAAATGTTTTGTGAGGAAAATGTAGAAAGATGGAAGTAAATAGTGATGATAAAAGTTATAAAAAGCATAGGTAAAATTAATGGTGTGCCTGCAGGAAACGATGCCTTCTGAACATCTGGAAGGATGTTAATTTCATAGGCGTGTGACCTAAGTATAATTTTAAACCTGTTAGACATTTATGCATAATATTTCTTTGGCTACAGTGGTCTGGCTTCGGTGAGCAATCAGAGTATGAAAACTATCATTCTTCAGGCCTGAAGGAAGCACAGCTGAAGAAATAATCTACTTTCAACTGTATAGAAACAGGTAATCCAATAGTATTCATATACCCACTATATTTATATTAACTGCATAGAGCATGGACATAAAGGTGAAGGAAGATTATCTAAACTGAAAAAGTAATTATTGGAAAAATAATGACGGAATAATAAATATAATTGAAAGCCTATGGATGTAAATTGATAATCCCTCATATATATGACCCAGAAGTTGGGAACATATTTCCTGCTCTTTGATGCTGGACCTTTATGATCTGTGGTGTGATATTTTCCATTCTGGCCAAAGCACCTCTTCTTGGTGTCTGGTTTACTGGAGGAATCACCATAGGCCACAAGAGATGTAAAATAATTAAGACCTATGGAATCAATCTTAGGAAGTCAAAATAAAGAAGGCAAGCTGAGGCCTCTCCTTTCATTCTGACGCTGGATCTGTGGTGCCTTTGCCTTTCCTAGTAGAAGTTAGAATAACCTTCATTTGAAGAAGTCCATCATTTCCATAGAACATTCTACCTGCCACAGCCTGGTGGCCTGAACCACCCTGACCTTCCCAGAGGCCAAGACCACCTTTCTTAGCTTAACCTGGAGCCCCTTCCCAGCAATGGGATATTGATCTCCTGCTCCACCCAAACCTTGCCTTACTTGACTGTTGCCTCTCTTCACCCATCTGCTGATTGACTTCTTGGCTTTACCTTGGACCTTCCTGGTGTGTTGCATTTCACAGCATTTCAGTAATTCCCATCTAAAGTCTTCAAGTTGATCTTTCCTGAAGTATGATGCCCAAAACTGGACAAAACATATCAAAGACCTCACCAATCTTGAAAACAGCAGAGGGATTATATCAGTTAGCTATAAATGATACCCCCGCTTATACTTCCCAGCACAATATTTTTAACTGTTGTTGAACTTGTGTTTCACTGTAGTTCTCAAAACTTTTCCTACAACATAATGAGCTATTCAATTATTCCTTCTGTTGTATAAATTGTTGTTGATTCCTGAATCACCATAAAAACTTTAACTCTCTCTATTTGAATAGGGGTCATTTCTCCACAAGATTAGCCAAATACATTAAAATACATTAAGGGAGCTCTTAATCTAGTTTTCACCTATATATACACTTTGATCTGCCTAAATATAGCTGATTCTACCCACTTCTCATGTGAAGAACGTTACAATCAAAAAGATTAACAAAGTGGAAGGGTAATACAGGAGCATAACAATGAAGAGACCAGCACAGATAGGAAGCTATTTCAAAAGAAAAGTAAAGGCGCTCACCTACCTCCAAAGAGCTAGGCTCCTCCACAAGGGAGGCAACAGAGTGGCAGTCAGCCCTTAAATGAGGTCTAAGAGAGGTGCAGCCAGGCTCCACCCCTTCCAGTCACACACATCAATTGCCTTCACCTGTGCTCCCAGGGCTGACTGGGTCCTTTCCCCAGGTGCTCAATCAGTGGTTCAGGCTGTGACTCAACAGTTATCGTACAAGTACGTTCCCTTTCTTCAATGCATCAGCAAAGTAATAACACAAACATTTCAGTTTTCATTTTGAGTCAGAGTTAGCACTTATTACGATAGCTAAGTTTTGTCAGAAGACTTTGTGAGAAACATGAAGTACACTGCATATGGTATACTGCTTAGGTATTCCAGTTTAGAGTTGTTGCTGCAGTGGATTGTCTTCAGAAATTATCACAATGCTTTATTTTCTCCCTTTCGTTCTCTTAGTTTCTAGAGCTATTACTTATCTACAGCTTTATTTCCACTTTTGTTCTCAGACCAGTGGAGATGACCTCCAAGAGTCTCTTAGTACTCAAAGAGTTCTAGGAGTCAATGATTCTTTAACGTGACAGGTAGAAATATATTGACAGGGAGAGAAAATAAACTAGGGATCTAACAAAGAAGTGATGTAGGCAATTATGATGTACCAATATGAGAAAGGGAAATACTGTATGTTTTTGCAATTATTATGGGAGAAAAGCTCAAAAGCTTTTGCATCAGAATGTTATCGTTCTCATAGCCTTCCTTTAGGTTTACGGGAGACTGATGCCTTAGATGTATCCTAAATAACTTCTCAGGAGAAACTAGCAATACTTCTTTACATAACTTCAGTCTACAAATTAAGTGAAAATGGTAATTTTATTTCTGTATACAATTTTTTTTCTCCTTTCCTTGCACTTTTATTTGAAATCCTATGTTGATGTATTTTTGAAGGCCAGAAAGTGTAAGGGAAGTAGCCTGCTGCTTATGGAAATCAAACAATGTAAATATACGAGAAGCTCTTTATCCTCACAGATGTCAGAAGTTAAATAGCATTGCTAAATAGCCATACACCAAACTATCCTGGTTATATGACCTGCAGTGGAAATGCTAAGTCACAGCTAGAAGCAGTGATTGAGCACCTGGTAGGAAGGCAGGGCCAACCCAGAGGAACTCAGGTGCAAGCAATGCACTGATTAACCAGAAGGGGTGGAGCCAGGATCCACCCCTTCCCAGACCTCATTTAAGGGTTGGCAGTGGAGGTGAGGGTGTCTTGCTGGATGTCTCTTTGTCTGTGAGGCCTTTTGAAGGTAGGTAGCTTATTTCCTTTTTTTCTGTACCTATGGCTGTTGTATTTAAGCAAGTCTTTGCTTGCTGTGGCTTGTTACTCTGCTGTTATTGTTGTGCTTTCCATTAGGTTGCATGAACTTAGTTAGCTGAAGTCTGTGCAGAGCTGGTTGCAGGTTTGCTGAGTTCTCGTGTTCAAATGAATGTTTGTGTATCTCACTGTTTCAAGCTGTGATTAGGCTTCTTATATTCCACAGAGATTTGTTGCTGACCAATCAGTGCTAATCATAGTACTTTGCTATTGATATCAGAGCACGGTTTTGTACTTGAATGTGCTGGGAAGAGAGTAGGCATCTTAATTGCTAAGGGCTGGATTATGCTGCCTTGGAGGAACAAAAAAAGTTAAATTCTGCTGAGTTGTTCCTGTCAGAGGTTCCTTAGAGCTCTCTATTGGAAGGGAGGGATGTTATGCCAGCAGGGTCCAATGCTTGTAAACCATGGGCAGGGGGGCTTTATTCTCAACTTGGTGATGACATTGCTTCAATTACATGTTATTGGTGATGCCACAGGATCTGAGTATCAGTTAAAGCCGGAAGATTAGATTTGTCTTTTTTGGCTCCATACAATACCTGGGAAATGAGCAGCTATTGCTGGGCTTCCACACATTCCTTTAAGATTTTCAGAAACTGTTTAAGTGTCTTCTGAAAGCACTCTCCTTGGCTGCATATACAAATTCATTTATATCTATATGCATATAATTATTTTTCAGCTTACTGTTGTCTAAGCTGAGTTGTCTCTTAACAGGCAGGTAATTTTAAATTTTAAATGTGCTGTAATAAGGTGGAATGTGATGGCAAAAACATCACTTCTCATTCTGTTTTTCCTTTAAGGCATTTTGTGCTACAGTATTACACCTCGCTGAAAGAGAAAAAAGAAAACAACAATCTGTGAGTATTGGACAAACTATCATGGGAACTTAATAGCATTTATTCCAATGCTGAGAGGGTGCAAGTACAATTGAATATGGGCAATTCAATGAGTAGTTTTGTTTCTTTTCTGTGGGTTACTAAGAGCAGAAACAAAGCTCAGCTGCTTATGGAGAATTAATTAATCTGAGAAAGTGCAAATGGATGCATATTCCTTGAGAATATTCAATTAAAAAGTTTTACTGGGGGTAGATCAAATAACGTGATTTTATTATTAATCTTTCTTTTTTATTCATTATGGGAGTTTATTGTTATGTAGAGGAGCTTGTGAACCCTATTTAATAAGAATGAATTAAATTAACCTATATAGAAATGTGGGATCTTGATTTAACATAGCACAGTAGTGTTGACGTGAACAAAAGCTTAACAGCAGTGAGCGTGCAAAGGAATTGTCTCTTAGAGAGCGTGCTGCTGCATCGTAGCCACTGCTAATGGGAGTAAACAGACAGCAAGTTGCTGTGGACATGAAAGCATGCTGCTGGTGTTAGGAAGACTGCTTAGTGTTCCTTTCTCCTCTAGCCTGCTCCTACTTGTCTTCCCATCTTTAATCTATGTGCTGGTAAGGTGAGCTGATTGCTGTCACAGAGCTCTGGAAATATTTGACAGAAATAAAATAAAACACAGCACCTGGGCAGTACAGGCATGCTGGTTTTGCATCCTGTCTTATCTCTAAGAAAGAGCAAATAATTTACAAGAGATATAATTTACAGAAGACAACAAAGAGGAGTTTGCTGTTTTTAGGCCACCATCTCCCTTAAGTAGAGAGGAGAGGATGTGAATGTTTATTATTTCTCCATTTGTAGCCATAATTAAGGGAAACAGTAGCCTTGTATATGTATCCTTGCATACATTATCTGCTCTCAGACCTTAGCAGGGTGAAATGTGTATATAGGTGTAAGGGTTTGAATACTGAATACATTTAACACTCTGATGTTACTAACTTTACCCCAAGGATGTATCTTTCAACAAGCCTGAGAGGTCTAAATTAATTATTTAGTGTAAATTCCTTGCTTGATCTTGATTTTTTGCTATCTATTCTGACACTGCAAATGCAGAAAAATTCATTGTTGTTTCTGGCAGGCCTCAACTGTTTTATTTCCCAGTTGTCTGATGTATCATCAAATATAGTTTTTTCTTATGTCACCTTTACACCACGAGACTACAAAGCAACAGCAGGGTAAAGGCACAACAGTACCTGTACCGTGCTAGTGTGCAAACATGTCTCCTTCCTGAACCTGGCTCTGCAAGTGGGGGTCAACGTCATGAAGGCTGTCAGCTGATAGATGTTTAGTGGATGAGCTGTGGATAAAATGACAACATGCTGCTTCATGCCAGTTTTGTTCACCCACCTTGCACCCACAGCTTTTTGCTGCCTTTCAGTTTCTCCCATCTGCTGCTCTTGGTGGAGCTTGCTCCTGTCTGTATTTCTCCCTCACAGGGTTTCTCCCATAATTTCTCCAGCTTAAGTGCAAACATGAAGAATTTCTTTGGTGTGGCAATTCAATTATGTATCTTAAGGGTGATTGTGCTGTACATCCAAGCTGCTGTTGACACTGGCTTTTATACCAATCAGATTAATGACTAGTAATTTAATAACAAAAAATAGCCAACAGAACTTCCACTCCAGCAGAAAATAGGCTGTTTTAAATGTAGAGCGAATGAGCGAATAATCTTCCTGAGACCAGTGTCTTGACTTCAGACATTTAGTGTGAGCGAGAAGGTACATGAAAGCAGAGCTCAGAGCATGGCTGAGACAGTGAGGAATGTGGAGCATGCAAACTAACTAAGGTTGTGCTGTGACACAGCCCAGCAACTGGGATTTTCTGGGGTACCTCCCCAGGGCTTCAGCAGGTTAGATGTGCTGCTGCTAAAGGGGCTTGTTACTTGATGGATAGCAAAAGCACTTCCCATGTATGTCGAAGCCTTTGTGTAAGCTTTGTGCTGTCCAAGAGTGCAATCAGTGCCCTGAGGAAGGGTTCGTGTGCTGCCTTGTGTGGAAACCTTGCTGCACTGAGCATCTTGAGACCATCTGCAAAGTACACATGCTAAGCCAGTGATCTTGCACAAGCAGCTGTCTTCATGCAATTCCAGAGAGGAGGTTAAACAGGGGTAAGATGGATGCAAGGAAGATGGGAACACAGCTATATTTTATTCACTAGAATCATTAGAGATTTTCTCCTCTGCTTGCTGTGGTTTGGGTAAAGTCAATTTGCCTGTTTTTGTTGTGATTTCTTGTGTTTCAACTGAGAAAACTGGAATTTTAGTGGTTGGAGGAATCTTTAAGCACAACAGGAGAGTTTTGTAAGTCTTTTGTTGCCAGTAGATTGAGGGGAGCACAAGCTTTGAGAATCTAGTCTGCTGTAGGAAAGGTTTCCAGCTGCTTTCTTTCTATCCCACTCAGAAATTTGAAAATAAATGTGAGCAAGCTAAATTTCTCTTCTGCCCTTTGGCTCCTCTGTGGGACTGGACCAAAAGGTTTGGGCAGCCTGCACTGCTAAACCTGTGAGCTGAGCACATCTCTCCCATGCATGGGCTGTGTAACAAAGGCTATTGGCAAGCATTGGATTCCTTAAGTCTCCTCCTGTTGTGCAGCTTTATCAGTCCCCAGCCTACCAACTGAAAACTGCCAGCTGGATAACCTTCTGCTTTGGTCTGTTTTCAGATTTGTTTGGTATTGCTAATGGAAAGAGGCCATACAGTTACAGAGAGCAAGATGTAATGGAAGATGGTGATGCTGTGTGACTGTTTATATCCATCTGAATACCTATCTATGACT